AAAAGACACTGTAATCATAACATGTAACCTACCGCCCACTCCAGGACACCCCAAGGGCAGGTTCACGTGCACAACTAGGAGAGAACGGTGACACTCCTCAGTTTTTTAGAAATAAGTCGGGGTCAGCAAAGGCATGGACTGACAGCCCGCCGGTCTTCTCAACCCTGAAAGCCTGCGGAAGATTCAGTTCTGTTCTTAGGAGCTTCGGCTCTTTGGTCTCTTGCCCCACACGGTTTCGAAATTTAGCAAATGTCATTTCAGGTTGCCACCCTCACTCCAATAGCCGCAATGATTCATGGCTCTCAGAAAAGACCCCCTCCACCTCCCTAATTCTGCCCAAGTCATCCATTTCGAATGATAATCACTAGCCATGCTATGGGAATAACCTAAGTGTCTATTAATAGAGGAATGGATAAAGAAAATATGGCATATCCTATTCTATATATATATATATATATATATATATATATATATATATATATATATATATATATATTTAAAAAAAAAAAGGGCTAATATGCAAATTGACCAAATAGCATAATGACTAGTCTCTATGATGCACACTGACCACCTCGGGCCAGATGCTCAATGCAGGAGCTGCCCCCTGGTGGTCAGTGTGCTCCTACAGGGGGAGTGCCACTCAGCCAGAAGCTGGGCTCACAACTGGCGAGTGCAGCAGTGGTGGCGGGAGCCTTCGCAGCAGCGTTAAGCCATCAGTCGGACATCCCACAAAGGCTCCTGGACTGCAAGAGGGTACAGACCAGGCTGAGGGACTCCCCCGAGTGCTCAGATTTTGTTCACTAGGCCTCTAGTACACATATAATAGAATATTATTCAGCCATAAAAAAATGAAAAGCTTGCTATTTGAGACAACATGAATGAACATTGAGGACATTCTGGTAAGGAAAAAACACAAGCCAGACAAATACAATCTCTCTTATATGTAGAATCCTAAACCGCTCCCCCACTGCCCCCCACCCCAATCAAACCAAGTTCATAGACTCAGAGAACAGATTGGTGGTTGCCAGAGGCAGGGTGTGGGAGGTGGGTGGAATGGATGAAAGGGGTCAAATGGTTCAAACTTCTAGTTCTAAAATAAATAAGTCATGGGGATGTAATGAACAGCTTGGTGTGAATTACAAGAGTTAATAATCCTGTACTGGATATTTGAAAGTTGATAAGAGAGTAGATCTTAAAAGTTTTCATCACAAGAAAAGAAATGTGTAACTATATATGGTGGCAGATATGAACCAGACTTCTGATGATCATTTTACAATGTATAGAAATATCAAATTGTTATGTCACACACCTGACACTAAAATAATGTTATGTCAATTATACCTCAATAAAAAACTATTGATCAGTTAGCACCTACATGCATTGCTCCTAGCTGCGCTCAGTGGGGAATAGAAAGACAGATATGCCAGCTGTGTTCCTACTGCTAACTGTGGCCAATATTGGTGGAGCTTCTTTCGTCGCTAAGTGTCTACTCCATTACTTGGTTCTCTCCTGATAGGTAGGTGTTAGTCCTCTACTTTTCCCCAGTAAGGAAACTGAGACTTATTTTATCAATAGTAAAAGTATGTCTGCTAAGTTCACATAATTTCTCGTTGGCAGGGCAGGCCAGTATGACTCCCAAATGCATGCTCTTCCCACTATGTCACTCTGGCTAATTCTTTGGAATAACAAGTTTCTTTTTCTAAAATGCAAGTACTTTCAAGAGAATTGTTCCCATTGAGTCATCAGTTTAAAAACAAATGCTTTTCTTGTACTTTGGAAATTAGCTTTCTCGAGCCCAATTTCCTGCTGATCCTGGTTCTAGGGCAATCTACAACCCACCCTCTGCTCTCCAGAATTGCCCGAGAATTTAGCCTTTTCTTCATCTCTTACAGAGCAATTTAGCATTCCCATCCTACCACAAAACCTGAATTACAAAACCTATCAATGAGCTCAAGAAAACAAAATAACCTTCTAAGAAAATCCACAAGGCCTTATGGGTAATTGAGGCAAATAGTGCCAGCAACTTACCCAATATTTATCCTTTTTTCTTCCTTACAAAGAGGATCCTAGTTTTTGTTAAGACAAGGATGTGCCTAGCTACAAATATATTTCCCAGCTTCCTTTGCACTCAGAATGGTCCATGTGGCCACAAACAGTTCCTTCCCAGCAGCCATATTTAGGCTAATCAATCCCACTTCCAGCTCCCTGATCAATTAGGATAATTTCCCTCTACCGTTTCCATCCTCCCCTACCAATAGACTCCTACTTCCTGGAGCTGCAATGTGCCCAGATCGCTTATAGACAGGGGAGGCCACAAGCCAATTCTGGCCAAGCCATTGGTTGGGCCTTCCTGGAAAGTCACTTAGAAGGGGCAGCTGGCAATATTATTTTGTCCAGTTATTTCTCCTTCCTGCTGTCTAGGATGCTGTCCTGATGGATGGGATACCACTACCACCTGCTGGAGGTGGGAAGATAATAGATTTGCTGTTGTTGTTGTTAATCCTCACCCAAGGATATCTTTCCGTTGATTTGTGGAGAGTAAAAGGGGAAAAGACACACAGAGAGAAACATCAATGTGAGAGAGACACATCAATTAGATGCCTCCTCCTGCATACACTCCAACTAGGGCTAGGGGTAGGGGCCTGCAACTGAGGTACATGCCCTTGACCAGGATCAAACCCGGCTAGGGCAATACAATTTTTTTTTAATCCCATGCCGCCTGAATAAATGTTGCCAGAAACAGTCCCCTTTCTCTATCTCAGACCCAAAACAGCGTTTTTACTGCTCATGCCTTCTTCAGTAGCAGCCACCCACATATTCCAGGTCTTAAATGTTTAATGAAACCCAGCGCTCTATTCCTCCCTGTGGAGGGCAAGGCTTGTCTTCTGGTGACCAGATGCAGCCGGCCTGGGAAAACCCCGACTCCTGAAAACTGCCTCCTGAGGAACAGAAGAAACGTCTGGTTTCCTGTGAAGTGCAGTCAAACATGGAGTTGGACATGTGAAAGCCGCAAGTGACCTTCTCTGGCTTATTGGGTGCTTGCTGTGTGCCCAGGCTGTGCCAAGTATTTAGATTACCACCTATGTGGTAGGAAGTGTCAAAATTCCTACAAGGAAACAGGCTCACAGAAGTCAGGCGACTTTGCCCAAAGTCACTTAAGTGGCAGAGCAGATGTTTGAACCCAGCTACATCATCCCAAGTCTTCTAAAGTGAAAGCAATAGAAATCCAACTCAAACTTGCTTCAGCAAAGAAGGGAAATGATTGAACTGAGTCCAGGGGTGGTTTCAGGCACAGATGGAGCCAGGGGCCCAGGCCCTCTATGTCCCCTGGCTCCCTTTCCTCTGGGCGGATACTGCTTACAGCCTCTCTACGTGGAAGGATGGATATTACCGGCTTTAGTCCTTGAGAATTAGAGTTTACAACTCCAGAGAGCTTTTTCTAATAACCGCAGTAAAAATCCAATTCCACTAGTAAGCTGTGTGGCCAAGTTTTAATCACACGCCTGGCCCTGCAGCAATCGTTGTTCGCAGGCTAACAGACTTCTCAGACCCAGGTCACGAGACTACCACTAAAAATAGCCAGGTCCTGGGATATCAGCATCCCTCCCCTGAAGCACACAGACTGAGGCCAAGTACTGCAAATGCAGAGAAGGTTCCCTAAAATAAGGGGGACAGAGCAGACAACACCTATTGCAATATAGCCTGTAGCTGTGTTTCTCGGACCAAATCCCAACCAATTTCTTGCCCTAAGAAGAGTAGCTCCAGTCAAGAGGATACCCTCAGCCATTTGGAAGTAATACCTTCCTGTTTACCCACGTGAACTTCTGCCCCAAATTGGAGTCTTCACTTGTGTTCCGCCCCCATGCCTGAACTTCTGTTTGCACGGTCCCCTGCCCGAGTCTCTGCCCGTCACTTCCTCACTCCCGACGTCTTTCTTGGGGCCCAGATCCAGGCCTGCCCCCTTGGCGTCTTCCCCAAAGGCCTGAGTGGGTCACTTGCTATTCTAGACGTCAGGGACGTTTGTCGTTTGGCTGTGCGCTGATGGTGGGATTCACCATGCAGTTCCAGGCGGGACTCGGTCGCCTTTTCTGGCAAGCTATGGCCGAATCCCCCACTCAGAGGACCGCAGGGTAACTTGCCAGACCGTGTCGGGGTCCGGATGAGAGGCAGTTTAGAGCCAGTCTGGGAACATGATCCACATGACACCATTGAGGATTCATCAAACATCCTCCGAGGATAAGCAGCAGCATGTAAGTGATGGCTATTTTTTTTGTAAGTGCCTCCATGAGACCAGAAACCTTTCAGCTGTAGACTCCAGGGACCCCAAGAACAGGAACTGGGAGGAGGGTGAGGGGTGAGAGCTGCTAATGAAACAGGTGACCCTGAGGTGAGGAGGTCAGCTGGGACCCTGGCCATCCAGGTGGACACTGTGTGGACCTGCACAGTGGTGGCCTGCTCGTGTCATACACACCAACTTCAGACCATCACCATGCTTTTATTCCTTCAAGTCCTCGCATTCTCCTCTCCCGCCTCTGGTCTGGTCCCCTGGCACTGCCGGGCTGCCTGCACTGGCGCAGTCGAGGCGGAGGGTCCGGCTGCCTCCCCACCAGCTCCCAGGGAGACAATGTGTAAGAGTGAGGCTGTGAGGCCGCCGGACAGGGAAAGGGAGGGAGGGGAATAGCCAATGAGGGAGAGAACGTTAATCTGGCACACAGGCTTTTCATAAAAACTTTATTTCTCAAAAAGGGGGAAGAATCCAAAGTATTAAAATAAACCTCTAATTTTATTTCAGAGGGAAAGGATAGGATGACAAAAATCCCTATAAAAATTTCAAGCATAATTGTCAGATACTACTTCACTCTGATCCTACACCTCCTGTCTAAGCTCCAGGTTCCAACCGCATCGCAAGTGCTGCCAGTCTCCTGGGCTGGAGAGGCTGCGAGCGTCCGGAATGCTTATACAATAGTTTCTCCACAAATAAATACAGATCAACCTCCCAGTGGAAATGATTGTTTTTGATGAGAATGGTGCCCCTCATCTAAGTTCCAGACCTTTCCTTTTTGAAGATGACTATGACTGTGAAAGAAACGTGGAAACATGTATTAGGTATGGCTCTGGTACCAACCAAATGCCAAGGGAGACTCTACCTCACTGAGGCAATAAAAAGGGGAGAAGCGGCCATGATTTCCCCATTGCCTCCACCTTGGACACCTTATCTTTGTTTCTATCACTGAAGAAAACTGGACCATGAAAAGCAAAGTCCCTATTTGGAGCAATTAAGCAAAGTCCCTATCCATAATAATTATTGTCTTTTAAAAAATATATTTATTGATTTCAGAGAGGAAGGAAAGATAGAAACATCAATGATGAGAATCATTGATTGGCTGCCTCCTGCACGCCCCCTACTGGGGATTGAATCCACAACCTGGGCATGTGCCCTTGGCTGGAATTGAACCTGGGACCCTTCAATCTGCAGGCCAACGCTCTATCCACTGAGCCAAACCAGCTAGGGCCATAATAATTACTTTCTAAAAAAAATAAAAAAGGAAACGGTGAGCTGGATTGTGCCATTAGCCAAGACCAATGCTGCCCGAATGAGCGCACAGCAGGAAGGCCTTCGGGACGTGGGAGCTGGACCGGCTCAGCCCAGGTCCTGGAGCGAGCTCACCCGTGAGGACCTCTCGGAACACCGCTCTCCTCTGCGGCTTTCAGTTGGTGTTGCTCTGAGGAACAGGAAGGTTCTCGTGAAGATACTTCAAAGTTCCGTGATCTGAGAAATCCGAGACCACGTGGTCCTGCCCTCGCAGCAGCCACTTAGTTGTAAGTAGTCCCTCAATTCCTACGGGTCCCCGAGCATGGATTCGCGAGGTACTGATTCCCACTTCAGCTCCTGCAAAGAAGCACGGATGAGGGTGTGGTGTTTCCCGCCTCTGCTTCCTGTCTGCTCACCAGCCCCTCGCCCTCCCCTGCCCATCCTGCCGGCCAGCTTGAGTTTCGCTGTCCCCACGTGTCTCTGGTCGCTGTACATCATGCCGAGCCTCCTCCTCCTCCTCCTCCTCAGGAAACCCAGCGTGTGGGCTCAATTGTGCTTTACCAGACGTGCTCTCTCTGCTATCTGTTCAGTGTGTGGACTGCGCACCGTAATTTGACATTGGGGCATTTTCTGTGTTATATAACAATGTTTAGTATGGAGGTTTCATCTCCCTAAATATTCCTCAAATCCCAAAAAGGGATAAGTTCTCAAGATCCCCCCCCAAATTCTTAGCACTAAACTGAATACATAAAAGGGGTTGCTCATCTCGCACTCTCGCTCCTGGCTCAGATGCGGCCATCAGGAGTCTTCCTGGGTCTGGCCCAGTGTTCTGCACCTCCCGCGGGGGAAGCAGGGTCCCATGTCCATCACAACTGCACTGAGCACGTACGGGCCCTGGGGATGAGGTGGTAACTATACAGTCCGTTTTCGTGGGGCTTATGTTCTTGTGGACAAGGCAGCCAAGAACTCCTGTGACAACTATGCGGGTGGGTGGGGCCCACACTGGGCAGGGAGAGGAGCCAGCCGGGGAGGGGCGGGTACAGGTGCTGCAGGCAGAGAGGAGTGAGGAGACCGAGTGGGGATGAGCTTGGGGTAGTGACTGGCAAGGAGCCTGTGAGCACCACATTCCAATTCTGTTAACTAATGTATCGAGACCATGTGACTCTGGACGTGTTGCCTCGATCATCTTTCGTGCTTTGATTTTTGTCATTAAAAAAATGAATAAAATGATCGATCCATTATGGAGATCTAAGAGAGCTACTGCATGTGATACATTAACACAGTGCTGGGGATACAGTAAATGCCCAATAAGTATTATCTGTCAGTGTTACTAGCGCATTTGACTCAAACAGACCCTGAGCTTCTGCTCTGAGCCAGGGACTGAACGACGATGGAGGGATCCCTTGCTTTCCCTGCATCTTGACTTTCGCTTCAAAGCTGGGCTCCTCAGCCCTTAAATGCATGCTGCTATTTCTTCTTCCAGGCCACAGAACGCAAAATTCAGTAGAAGTGATGTGGTATTAAATCACAACCCCAGCACAATGGAGACAGGGAACTAAAAATAAGTCATTCTTGTCTAATGACTAAGAATAACTGAGTAAAATTTCCTTTATAACTTTTAACAATTCAGTGACAACTATTTGTCTCTATGCAGATCATCTATTCAAAAGTTCAGAGGGATTACAATGTTTCAAATGCTTAAACTACTTCTCCGATTTGTCATAATTGCCTTATTAAAGCTTTGTATAATGGCACCCCTGACTACTGGGGATGGAGATTTTATTATTATTTTTAATATATTTTTATTGATTTCAGAGAGGGAGAGGGAGATAGAAACATCAATAATGAGAGAGAATCATTGATTGGCTGCCTCCTGCATGCTCTCCCGACCCCCAAATTGGGGATGGAGCTTGCAAGTTGAGCACATACCTTAACCGAGAATCGAACCCATAACCTCCTGGTTCATTGGTCAATGTTTAACCACTGAATCATGCTTGGGTGAAAGATGGAAGGGGAGAAGGGTGTCTTTCAGAAGCTTTTAGAAGTAAACCTTGCACCCCAGGCTAACCTGTCTGTTTCTGATGCTAACAATAAGCCCAGCATAGTCACTAACACCTCTGTCCTGCCCCATGGGAATTCCTAGCTCCGAGGCAACCTGGCTGAGTCTCTCTACAGAGTAAGCCTGCAGTAGCAGTGCTCTCAAGGGACTGGCAAAGACCCCTGTTACCACCTGTGCCTGGAGACACGCTGTGGTCCGCCTGCACTGCGTGGGAACGGCGGGGCTGTGGGCTTGCACAAGCCTGGGTTTGAATGCCAGCCGTGTGACTTTGTGCAAGTTACTTCACTTCCTTGAACCTCAGTTTCCCCACCTATGAAAAAGAAAATACAAGTACCTACCTTCTTAATAAGTGGAACACCCAGAGCACAGCACTTTATCAGCTACGATTTCCTCTCACAACTCTGTATCCACCCTCTCACAACTGTCTCTTATCTTGACCAAGCATGTGACCACAGAGGTGAGCCGTCTCCTCCACCCTCATCGTGCCCCTTCAACCACACCGCGGTCCTTTCTCCACGCCCAGAGTCCTTACCCAGCCCGAAGCGGTAGCCATCAGAGAAGCGGGTGCTGGCGTTCCAGAACACGCAGGCACTGTCAACGTGCTGCAGGAAGAACTCTGCTGTTTTCTCTGTGGCAGAAAGAGAAACTGAGTTAGGATGATCCGCAGAGAACACCCTGCTTCTAGCCCTCACCTGGGACTGCCCGGGGCAGGGTCCAGGCACCAAGGGACTCCCCGGGTGTTAAACATCGATTTGTGGAAAATCCAAAGAGGAAGAAGGCAGACCGGCCTCATCAGTGACTGCTGTGGGAAGAGTAGCTGCTTGGGAGCTCCTACTGCAGAGGTACCCTCGCTGCTACACTGTTTAGAGGCTGTGGACCCAGAGTCTGTAAGTCTGAAGTCTAAGTTCACACGCACTAGCTGGATGACCTTGGGCAGGTTTCTGAACCTCTCTGTGCCTAAGAAAAACAGGGACTGACAATGACCTAGCTCACAGTGTGTGGAGAGAATAAGATGAACTGACATCCACAAAGCACTCATCACAGTCTAGCACATAGTAGGTGCTCTATAACAGTTAGCTGTTACTATTAGTGCTGTTGTGATTCCCTGAGTCAACTGTAAATTCCCTGAGGGGGGCCATACTGGCTTTCTTAATCACTAGGCCTGACACCCAGGCATGTTCTGCAATACACATCTGTAGAGCAAATGAATGACTGTGGCATTGGTTCTGCCCTTACTCTCCTGAACCTTGGTTTCCTCAGCCATAAAATGGGTTTATTCTAATAACCTGGAGAGACTGTTGTGTGGATTAAATGGTAGCGCCTGTAATGCAGGAGTCATCTTTACAGTGGAGCTAATAGTCTCTTTTCTGCCTCCTCCTATGGGGCCACCATCACTCTATCATGAGGTAACAGATGTGAGAGCACTCAGCAAAACAGCAAATGCAACTAACAGCCAGCATCTCATCAGTTTGTTCGGTTACGTCTCCTACAGGCCAGGCAGCACGGAGAGAACCACGAGGAGACGAAGGCAGAGTGCAGGCGCCTCCCTGCAGCCTCGGGCACTGACCGTTCTCCGTGACGATGACCTCGGTGTGGGAGCTGCCGTACTTATGGATGTGGTCGATGGCCTCCTGGACGCTGTCCACCACCTCAATGCACAGCTCCAGGTCCCCGTACTCAGTTCGGAGGGACTTCACTTCTGAGGGGCTGAAGGTCAGATAGGAGGCGAACTTGGGGCCTGCGTGAATTTTCACCTGGAACAGAGGAAGTGCAGGGGCAACAACAGAAACCCACATGAGAGCAGGGTCACACCTCTTCCAGACCAGCAGCCGGTCCGCTCAGAGGCCACTCGCATGAAGGAACCCCAGCATAAGTGAGCATGTTCCCTAACTCCCTTTTAATTTGTGAGGTGCATTTTCAAACAACGCTCTCAGGCTCTCAGTAGGTCCGTGCCATACTTATAGCTGACTGGAGCCTCTTTTCCAGGAAAGGATGGATGGGAAGAAAAACGTGCTGCAGGTCAAAGCGCCCAAGGCCAACAGTCACTCCCCCAGCTGCTGCACAGAACTCTGCCAGGGCATCGATACTTCTGACAGAAAACTTACGGCTGTCCGTTTTTGTCTGGGGAGTATCTATTTCCTTGCAATAGGAATGTAAGATGGAGTATATGTTTATGTTGGAAACTTACTGGTATTGATTGTTTATAACCTTAATAAAATTATCTCAGAAAAAGAGGATATTACACCAATTGTTGATTCCCAATACCACTGTATTAAGTAGGTTGATACTGGTAATTGAAGACATTTGTGGAGGGGCGGATGCAATACATTTTGGTTTGAGAACATTTCCGCACAATCTTTTCAAACCGAATCCAAACAGGAATGTTCAGATTCACAAACTTTAAACTATGCCGCCAGAATAAATGTTGCCAGACACAGTCCATTCAATGGGATGCCATGCGGTCTGTCTTCTCTCTAATCCCTCCTAGCACTTAACACTTTCCACTCGGGAATGAAGCTATTTGTGTGTGTGATTCTCCCACCCCCTGGGCTGTCAGAAGACAGGGGCCTGTCTTCCTCTTACTCCTCTCGGCTACTGAGCACAGAGCTCTGTACATAGCAGATGCTCAAAAACACTGCCTCTTGAACGGCCTCACTGCGTGGAGTTCTCCTGGTCTAGTCCCACAGGCTCTCAGTCTCCATGTGGGAGGCAGGAAGTGGTGCGATCCTGCGGGCTCGTCTTACCTGTTCCACACGTAGCATATCAATGATCTGGTCAAACAGGGGTGTTCTCAGCAGGTCTCGGTGGATCAACAGAGTCTCCAAAGCGTTA